GGCGTATTAAGCCGAAGATCGTGGGTTCGAATCCCGCTCGGGCCATTGAGTTTTTTATGTCAACTAAAAAACCTTAATTAATGTGTGCCTAAAGATTTACAAGCTAAGCGGGTACATTGCATGAGCATTAGACAAGAAGTGCAGAGCTATGTATATTGGAAATTTTAATGATAAACATTATACAAAAGAGAAATTAAAAACTCGCTTCAACAATGCACTCAAAGCACCTGGAGTTGATGGATTAACCAAAACCATTGAGGAACATTTTTACAATAGATAACCGTTAAGTGTGACAGCCATGTATAACCTATGCTTAAAGGAAGGTCGATTTCCAAAACAATAGAAATTGTCTAACATTGTCTTGCTTATCAAACCGTGGAAGGAACACAAAGAAAACGTGTCCAAATATAAGCCCATTAGTTTGCTACCCATTATGGGGAAAATATTAGAAAAACTCACGATCTAGAGAAGTCTTTACTGGTTTCTTACTCAAGGCGGACTTTCGGTAAACGAGTATGGCCTTGTTATAGATGACGCTTCAACCGCCGTTTGAAAATTCTTGTTTGGTAATCTTCAATAAAAAAAATCTATTTATTTTTCAATTTAGTAATATAGGCTTTAATTAAGCAATAGTAAGCAATTGCTGAAACGAAATAACGGCTAAAATATCAACATATTTCACGGTTGCCATTGTGTTTTAGGTACAAAAGGCGAAACCAGTTGTTGGTTGAAAGCAGTGTTGGGCAAAAATTAGTTATGTCTAATGATTAATGATTGATCACTCAGACCGTTAGTCATGATTGTTAGTAAGTGACTAATTTAGTCATTAGTCACAATATAGTTAGTCATGACTAAATTTCTATCAATCATTTTCAAATGGGTGCTGAAAAAATGAAAAATACACTTCATCACTTTTAAAAAAATTTCTAACAGAAATTTATTTCATCAAAACGAAAATCCTTCAACACCTTATTTAACAAAAATCAATCTTCCAATAATAAGTTGGGGACGCGGTAGCCGAGTGGTTAGCATGAGAGACTCTCACGCCGCGGTCGTGGGTTCGATTCCCACCGTCGCCTCTGGCCCTTTTTTCACAATAACCCCCCCAAATTTGAACACACAAATATGAATTGTCACGTGGCTAATATGCATAGTTCATAACGCCAAAAAAAAAAAAAAAATTATAAGTAAAATCCGTCGTTATGAAAAGCCAAAAAATAATGATAATGATAATAATAATAAAATAAAATAAAAAAATCCTATAACAAGCTACGCTTTGAAAAGTAAATATATTAAAATAACCGATCAATGAAAAAAATATTTCTTTGAATTAAAATTTATTCCACTTGAAAGGAGAGATTTCTACATTATTTGGAAAATACACCATCCAGGGGTCTTGATTATAATAAAATAGGCATGCAGAATAATTATATAACTTTGGTTTTCGTTTATGATAACAATTTTTGAAGGTTGGCCTTGAGCACTACTCTCATCTCAAAATTTTTATCCGGAGTCGGTTGGATTTTGATAAGTTGGTCATTGTAGCCAGAGTTGGGCAAAATCAAACTAATTCAATCATGATTAAGAATTTTGATTGAAGTTTAATCATGATTGAATTAGTCATGAGTAAATTAATCATTATATGATTTAGTCATACCTCATGATTGAATTAATTATGATTAATTTACTCATGGCTAATTCAATCATGATTAAACTTCAATCAAAATTCTTAATCATGTTTGAATTAGTTAGATTTTGCCCAACTCTGGTTGAAAGGAGTTGGTCTTACAAACAAGAAAATAGCGCTCGTTTGTTCTTAGTTAAGCAGCCATTTATGGACTTTCGTCGGGTTTGCAAAAAACTCTGTGGGAAAAGCAAAATGCACATCACTGTCAACAACAACACATTCTTTCAAGCCGCTTTTCAAGCGGTTTGTCATTTTAAGTCGGTTTCTCGTTTATTGGAAAAGTGAAAAATCTTTAACAGTAAATTTCTTACACCTAAGTAACAAGAGTTCAGTAATGTTTTAATAAATTTTTGTCTTGATTGATAGAGTGTGAGAGAGAAAACGTGATTGATCGATAATTGAATCGGAGAAAGTAGATATTTTTGAAAAAGTCGAGAGCTTTCATGAAATGCAACATATATAATGTAGGCCTATAATGTAAATGAATAACTCGGATAAGGGACTTCTCGGTTTAGGGGAAACCACTGCTGACAGGCTAGTTACAGATCCACCGGCATGGAAGATTCATTTTGTTGTATTTAACACCTCTATTTAGAAGCCACTTTAAATAATCGACACAAACTCTGTCATGTCGTCCTACAACCAATCGTCTCACAATCTGTAATAGTACTAAAAACCTCTGAGTAGAAGACAGGCCAGATCGGGTTTTTTAGGTAGCATAAACAATGTGTGTGTTAAAACGGAAATTTTTAAGACTGAGCCGTTCGGTTAAAACGATAGGAGAGAAAATTTTAAAACATCTTAAAGTCATTACACACACACACGCACGCACGCACGCGCGCACGCGCGCGCGCACACACACACACACACTATTTCCTGTCACGTTATAAAATCTTGTGGTCGTTTGTCACACTGGGTTCTGGGTTCGAATCCCGGTCCTGCCCATCAAATGTTAAATTAAAATAATTTAAAAAAGTACGATGAAGTGGTTCTGAACCCTCGTTTGCGACACCCAATGGGGTGGTTGGACGTTAAGCCCTTCTGTGTAACATTTTTGATTATTTTTAAAATATAATTAAAACTTTGAAGACTGAGCCCTGATCGATCAAAACGCTAAGATAACATAAAAAATGTTTTAACTGAAGACGATTTACTGTTATTGCTAGTCTGTAAAAGGTATAAAGTTAGCCGTGTAAGTATTTGTGTAAGGAAATTTTCCCATGAAAACTATCGTACTACATGATGACTGAAGTTGCCAGGACGTGGCTTGGAAAAAAGAACAATTTTTCTTTTTATCCAAACATGTAAAGCTAGTTATTTTTCAACTCGGTGATGCGTAAATGAGAAAAAGCGGATAGAGAAATGTAATGAGGAAAAGAGAGAGCCAGAGATCGATTGATAGAGACCGACAGACAGAGAAAAAGAAAGGGAACATAGAAAACGATGTAGATAGAATGAGAACCAAAGATAGATAGATAGATAGATAGATAGATAGATAGATAGATAGATAGATAGATAGATAGATAGATANGAGAGAGAGAGAGAGAGAGAGAGAGAGAGAGAGAGAGAGAGAGAGAGAGAGAGAGACTGAGAGATGGAGTAATAGAGATTTTCATAGATATATACAAATATAGTCATAAATTAGGGGTTTGAGATGAGATTTCAGGGTTTTATGGACGGTTCTCCATCGACGGTGAGCGGTTTCGAAGATAAATACGATTTGAATTGTGGATAGGAATGTTGGATTTGTAGTAAATAGCTTGAATAATGGTGCGGAATATTTTTAACTGCTGTGACTGGATTCTTAGTTTAGTTCAGTACAGATCGATTGTGGTAATGCTTAGAGCAGAAGATGGTTATTTAGTAAGATTTGGTTTCGTTGAGTTTGATCTTCTATTTCTTGAACAATTCTTCTAAATTGGGAGAGATGGTCCCGTAGGATTTTGAAGACCTCTGGCTCTGGGTTTGTTGAAATTTATAGCCTTCGTAGGCGAGGAGTATTGTACCGGGATTGATAGTAATGTCTGTAGTGCATATTGAATGGGGAGTTAGACAAGGATGATGCCAACAACAACATTGAATGATGTGGGAAGATAACAAATAAATGTGTGAATTCCTCTTTTCATTAGATTAAACGGCTATGAACATTTATTTTAAATCCATTATATTTCGCGGTCCGAATGACCAAATAACTTCTTTCAATTAATTAATCTTTATGTAAGGTATTGGTTGAAATGAAAATGTCAAGAGCGGGATTCGAACCCACGACCTTCGGCTAAATACGCCGCTGCTCTACCACTTGAGCCATCGTGACTTGATCCACTCGGACAACAACTTCCCATCTCAACCTCACCTTTTGAATTTTCCCTCCTTTTTGCCATTCTTCAAATGTCGTGTAATCAGGATTCGATTCTCGGCGACAAATGAAATGGCCACGGAGAGCTTTAGTGAAGATATACTTCGTTTTACTTATTAAATCCATTATATTTCGTGGTCCGATTGACCAAACACTTCTTTCAATCAATTACTCTTTATGTAAGGTAGTGGTTGAAATGAAAATGTCACGAGCGGGATTCGAACTCACGATCTTCTGTAAATACGCCGCTGCTCTACCATTTGAGTTATAGTGACTTAGATCCACCCGGACAACAACTTTCCATCCCAACCTATCTTTCGAATTTTCCCTCCTTTTTTGCCATTTTTCAAATGTGTAATCAGGATTCGATCAGGAATCCCGCTCGTAACACTAACTTTTTAATTTCAACCAATACCTTACATAAATATTTATTTAGAAATCGTGAGTTGCGGTCTGGTGTAATGTAGGTTTCAGAAAAACATTTTCTTTATCGTGCCAACGTTTCGATCTTTATTGAGATCATCTTCAAGGCCTGGGATTTACAAACATTGTTTACATATTACAATTACATTTTGGATGTGGAAAAGTGAATTTATTCAATGCAAAATTCACTTTTCCACATCCAAAATGTAATTGTAATATGTAAACAATGTTTATAAATCCCAGGCCCTGAAGATGATCTCAATAAAGATCGAAACGTTGGCACGACAAAGAAAATGTTTTTCTGAAACCTACATCACACTATACCGCATCTCACGATTTCTAAATAAATATCGATTAACGGTCACTAATCATACCTTACATAAAGATTAATTAATTGAAAGAAGTTGTTTGGTGAATTGGACCACGAAATATAATGGATTTAATAAGTAAATCGAAGTATATCTTCACTAAAGCTCTCTTCAGAATTAGCGTGATACGAAGAAATTTCATATTAAATATAAATGAAATTCTTACCTGTCTTCCATGTGGCATTTCCCATCACGTACTTTACACTGGGTCTTGAAGTGGTCGTAAATTTCTATACAAGCTTCATCTTTTTGGCAGACGGAGAGCGCGTGGTTGCACGTCGGCAGCGCGTCTATCGGGTATGGGTCTTTTTCTGAAACAAAATCAATCGGACCATTAGGTCGAGGATTGAATTGTAAATGGAGAGCCGGCTGTGTTTTTAATGGATGGTTGACAGCTATGAATATTCCGTGTTTGAACGTCAATTTTAACATTAAACTCCTGCCTTAACAAGCTTTCTGTGATGAAGTTGTGTTGGAAATGTTTTGAAAGTTATGATGCATGGGTGTAACGTTTAAGCTCAGACCAGAGAGACTGTGATGGTTCAAATAATATTACTGACTGTTTTCAACAATAAACTCAAATCAACCTCATTGTCATGCAGCACTGCAAAAAATGTTAATCCATTATGAATAATTTAGTCGAAAGTATAATATATTGTATCTATTCATTTTTCGAAATAATGAACAGGTATTACCTGTCAAAATAATTGTTTATCCCTGTTTGAAGGACGGTAGCAAAAATGTAATATATATTAAAAATGTATAAATATGGCAAACTTACTGTCTCCCATTTGGAGTCGTAGGAATTTAGAGCAGCCCCTTTAGCGCTTAAAATTTCATCTACACTTTTTTTCCCCCAAATTAACCCATTTTAATTTCAATGACCTTTTTTTAATTTCCGATTACTACAATACTTTTCAATTTCAAATTCAACTTGTTTAATTTCCAATTCATCCTTTTTAACTTCAACTTAACCTTTTTTATCTTTTAATAAATACTTGTTAATTCAAATTAATCTTTTTTTAAATTCCAAATAATTCTTTTTAACTTTAAATTTACCTTTCCCATTTTAAATTTTTTTAAACTACGAAAAAACTTTGAAGATGGTATGAAATATATGCATGTAAAATAAAATTCCTCTATATAAGATTTATGTTTAAATATAAGAAAATTGTGCTCTTGTATCACCATATGAAAATTAATTACAATTACAATTAAAAGTTACAATTACAATTTAATATAAAAACAAATGCGTGTTTTTATTAGTGGCCGGTTGTTTAATAATTTGTTGGAGTTCTGAGGACCGGTCAAGACTTCTGGACTATCCTCGACTAACTCTCGAGGTGTCGGTGTTAAAAAAATTGTAAGTATCACGGGTTCGTATGCAAGGCAGGAGGATTCGAACACAGGACCTTTACCTTTTAGTGATGAGCGCCGTGTCAACGTTGCGACCCCCCCCCCTTAACAAATGATTATTATTAATATAATTCTAGATTTTTTAAAATATAAATATTGGGCCTTTACATAAATAAAATATAAACATTACTTGCGATTAAAATTTAAAAAATACTAAAATAATTTAATGTATAAATTCGATATAAAAATAAATATATTATTTAAAGCTGGGAATCTAAAAAAAATGTTCTTATATAAAGTACCACAAAAACATTTATTACAAATAGCATTAAGAATTATATAAAATTAAATATAAAAAAATGATATTTATTATATATTAATTATAAATTTTTATTAACATAAAATAATTATTTTTATTGACAAATTACTTTATATTAAAAAAATACGAATTAATAGATGAATCATTTGTTTTTAAGTCTCAAATTTAGAGAAAATATTTATTTTTATATTTAATTTTATATATTTTTTGATGTTAATAAAAACATTTCCGGTTCTTTTATAAAAAAACTTAATACATTACTTATCTAATGTAATAAGTAATTCATTATCTATTTATACACAAATTATAACAAGAAATGTATTTACTTTTTTATTAAAAAAAGAAAAAAAAGGAAATGTTTTCTGACATTAAACAACAACTTCAAATAAGATGGACTAGTCTTAAAAACTCGTTTTGAATAAAAACAACTTTAAAAGAATAAAAATGTGAAATTAAAAAAACGGTAATTTGGTGTTAAAATGAATTAATTTGAAATTAAAAATGGTTAATTTTAAGTTTAAAAAGGTTTAAATAGAATTGCAATAAAAAGGAGATTTCTAAGGTAGAAAAACGTAATTTGACGGAAAAAGCTATTTCAATTTCAAATTTCAAAAAGCTGACAAATAATGAAAGTACGAAAGTTTGCAAGTAAACAGCAACTTTACTTTAGATGCCTATTTCATATTATTTACCATTATTTCATACCATCATTATTTCATATATGTTTTTTACGCTTTAAAGAAATGGTTAATTAGAAATAAAAAGGATTGATATGAAGTTAAAAATTTGAAAATAAAAAATGTTAATTTGCAAGTAAACAGGGGTAATTTAAAATTAAGATGAGTTTATTCAGTGCAAAAATATGTTTATTTAAAATTAAAAAGAGTTGATTTGAAGTTAAAGAGAGATAATTTGAACTTAAAAACATGTTAATTTGAAGGTAAAAAGGGTTAATTCGACGGAAAAAGCTATAGTTTTAGGAGAATCTGGAAGAAAGAGAATCTAAACTTGTAAGCCAAAACCCGCTTATCCACGCGCAGACGTCCAGATCCTTTGCGACCTAACGGCCTTATGCGACGTGAGAATTACAAATGCTATTATTTTTTGCTTGTTCATCGAAATACTTTTAGATATTTAATCAGATATGAACTTTTTAAAATCAAATTTAGTCAACCTTGACTTATTTTCATATTATCTATAAGAAATTATCAAAAATAGAATAATTCAGCGTCTATCTTCACCCTGCTAACTGCCCTGAATTCTCATAATTTACACTAACGATTTCTGGACGGTGGAACGTTTTTGGAAATGACCGTCATTTGAAAACTATAACACACGAGCAAAAACTTTAACAAATTTGATTTTATCTATGTCAGCACGAAAAAAAGTTAGCATTAATTTATTAAATTAATAAGATTAATAATAAAAATTAATAAATTAATTAATTAATCAAATACCTTGTTTTTTTTATCTTTTAGGAAAATGTCAGAAACTCGTGGTAATTAATGACGACAGACGGCACTGTAAACACCCTGTTGTAAAGTTTCAAGTCTAAAGATAAACGACTCTTCTAGTAAAATCGACTGATCAGAGATTACCCGACGGCGAAACTGTTATTAAACTAGATAACACAAACCAAACGGGTTGAGCCAATTTTGTAATATCCTATTGGAAAATCTCTATTGTGAAGGAAAGAAAATTTATGCCCGATTTGAACTGGACGAAACGATCCTCTTTACAAAAACAAGAGTTTTAAAACTAGACTGGCTTTTTATATATGCTTTGCGCAAGATTCAATTTTTTTCTCGAAAAGCCGAACAGAATTTATGCGGATTTATTGTCCGAGTCGTTCGAAGTCGCTCGTACTGTCAGGGTCAAGCTGTATTTTTAGCGCAATAAGGGGATTTGCGGATCTAAATATTATAATAATTTTTTGTTTGCAATCATTCAACAAAAAGAATTTCAGCACAGAATAAAACTGATCTCATGAGATACCGAAGTTTAGGATTGTTTTAAATAATTTTGTCAATATTGAGAATCGTGTTCTGGTGTACTTAAGCTTTTATAAATCTTGTTTTTTAAAATATATTTTGTGTCAAAAACTACTTTTCAAAAAAAAACACCGACTGTCAACCCCTCACTGCAGAAGGTCTGTAACCATTTTACATCGTAAATTCGTGCGTAACGGGAAAATTTGAGCTGTATTTACAAAATCCTAGAAAGTTGATTTTTTAAGCTATTTTTTTTTCTTTTCTCCAAATGTTTTCATAAAATTAAAATAATTGTTATTTAACTTTGTAGAAAAATAACAAGCAAACAATTGCCCCGAGTATGTTTTTCAAAAAGCAGGAGGAAAAATCAGGAGCGGAGAAAGTGTGAAAAACGGCCGCTACCACTCAAGGCGGACCAAAATATAAAGCAACAGATTTGAGTTTTTTAAAATTTGTTTTAAAACAATTTCACAATTTTCTGAATATAACGAGCTTTTTATAACAATTTTTCGAACACTGGGAAGTATTTTCTTAAGTTTATTAATTTTAACTTTTATTGCTATAAAGCGGGTATAAGGAGTATTAACAATTTTATCAGTATCAAAATATTATTTTCACTTTTTGTTCTTCGAGCTCATTTTGAATATCTTAGGAATATTGAAAGAAAATAGAAAAAAATGTAACAATAAAAACATTTAAAAAAATGTTAAATGTAAGGAAGAAAATATATGACTTGAAAAATGGCATAAGATCACCGAAAAGCCAGTAAATTGTGAATTTTATTTTTAAAAACACCTTTAAATAAAAACGCTTACAAAAAAGAAATTTTTGTCTATAAAAAGAAAAACGAAAGGTAGAAACCAAGGTGTTCGTACGCATTATTTAATATAATTTTACGCATACATTCAATTTATATGTATGTATATTGTCCGTCTTTTGTCCATCAAATTAACCTTTATTTAATTTCAAATTAACCTTTTGGAAGTTCAAATTAGTCCTTTCATTAAAAACTTAGTGGTACGAAATCAACTCTTTCTCTGAAAAAATAACCTTTTTAACTTCAATATTAAAACTAGGTTTAATGTCAAAATTAATCTTTTTCGAATCAACTGAAAAATTTTTAATTTCGATTTTTTATAGCGTACAGATGATCTTTTTTATTTTAAGTTCAGGTAAAGTAAAATTCTTGTATTTATGAGAATTTTTTTAAATTGAAATTAAAGCGTAAATTTTATCAGCTTCTATTAAATAAATAAATGTTCAATTAATTATGCCACAATTTTTTTTTCATTTTTTTAAAATTTTTCATTTCAAAAAAATTGTGTATAATTAATTGAGTATTTATATATTTAATAGAAGCTGATAAAATTTAGTATTAATCTAGAATCACACCTGTGAATCGTACACAGTCCCGCTAATCTAGTACAATCGTTAATAAAAAAGTGTTTCTATATTAAGCCGCGATTTGCTTATAATTAGAATAAAATCGGGTAGTAGAAGTGAGAAGTTTGTGGCATGGGCGATCGGTCACGGTAGCTCAAGTGGTAGAGCAGCGGCTTATTGAGCCGAAAGTCGTGGGTTCGAATCACGCCTGTGACACGAATTTTTCATTTCGAAAAAATTGTGTGTAACTAATTAACTTGAA